ATCATCAATAAGTATGTTGCACAAGAGAAGCTTTAGGAAGTGAACGAATACCTTTGAAAACACCATTGATCCTCTCTGCCATGTTGGATGTCAGGATAGACCATCGACGCCCACCATTATAGTTATCATGTGCTAAGCTCCAACGAATTTGATTTTGGTCCACCTAGTTATCACAAGAAATATTCCTATCAGCGGCCATCTTCTTAAATTGCTCAACTTGACGATCAAACTTCTTCAAGCGTTTTTCTCTTGCTATCAAAATAAATAACCACACGAGTTAGATAAATTCATGAAAAAATTAAATGAAAATAAATAATAATTTAAAATAAATAACAAAATTAAATGAAGAAGGCTTACCGACTCGAAATAGTTGCTTATACATAATTATGCTTTTAGTCTTCCATTGCAAATTGTTTGCATAGTGTCGCATGCACCATCTCCACTTTCAACCTCTTCCGATGTCACTCATGGCTTCATAGAGTCCCGCATGTCTATTTGAGATGATGCATACATCATTTCAATCGGTCAAACCTTGAACGTGACTTATAAACCATGGCCAACTATCAGTATTCTCGCCCTCCACTATGGCAAATGCGATTGGAAAAATCTTCTTCCGGCCATCAAATGAGCTCACCATGAGTAGCAATCCTTTATACTTTCCAGTAATAAACGTTCCATCAACAACCTTGACTCCTGGACAATTCTTGAATCCATCTATACAAGGTGCATAAGCCCTGAATACTCGCTGAAAGATCAAATGACCTGGTTGCGATGAAGGAACTCTTACCCAATCAATCACTGATGTTGGCATTTTTCTCTTCACCACCAGCAAGAATGTTTGCAAATAATCGTAGGATTCTTCCCAATTTCCATGCAACTTCTCCAATGCTCTTTGTTTCCCATACCAAGCCTTCTTGTAAGTAACTTGCATATTAAACTTATCTTTCAACTCGGCCTGCATAGTTAGAACACTCAGATTTGGTTGGGCACGTACCAAATGTTTCACGGACTCAGATATAATGTCGACATCAAGATGACGATGATCCATCGGTTGAGTCATATTGCTACAAGAATGCACCAACTCGGCCTTTCTCACAGTGCATTCGCTTCCAACATCTCGACATTCAAATTGCACCATCCAAGGACAATTGTCATCCTTGTGCTTCAAGCATCTGACCTTCCAGATTGAAGGTGATGACTCCACCATGCCATACTGAAAGTTGCGTTGTAGTGTGTGATGTTTAATCTCCACCTGTGCAGCTTGTTTCGAGTGAAATATTTGCCACTTGTAGAATTCTCCTTCAAAACCAGCAACAACATGCATTAGAATTACTCCATATGAATCAACATATGATAATTCGTCGTCCTCTTCATTACCCTGCAAGTAAAAATTTGGAGGATAATTAGGCTGCTCTACTTCCCCATCTTCCTCCTCCTCCTCATCATCATCTTCCTCCTCTCTGTTAACATCGTCATGATCGGATGGCATGCTCCATATCTCATCTTCTTCCTCTACACCCCGATCCTCACTGAGTTTAGCATGTATCTCAGCACCCAAACAAAAAGGGTTTTGTGCCATAAAATTCCAAAGCGCATTCAAGCTATCATCATCCACAATAGGCATCGCATAATGAAATAAAACACCATTCTACCATTCTGGAAGACAGTAAGTGAAACTTGTGATCATATCACTATCTTGTACTACTTCGTCTTTACGCCGTATTCTCTGATGGATGGCACCGTCAACTGAAAACATCTACCACCAACGAAACGAACGCCCAAATTATCCTCTACTTTCTCTGATTTCCACCGAACGACTAGTTCAAATCTTCTAAAATCACTATATAAAAAAACAAACTCACTAATTACTAACTAAAAAAATCATAATAGCATTTGAAGAATATAATTAAAAAAATAAATGTGTCTCTTACCTATTAGCCATCTTTGCAGCAACCAGAGCTACTTCGTCTAACTTTGGAACATCGTTTTTTTTTTTGTGCCGAGACTGAAATGAAAATCATTGGGAATAATATATAGTGCTGGAGTGGGTGTGTAGGACAGCGAACCCGCCCTAGTCTCGGGCGCCCCCGTTGGCCATCAAACACGACTTAGTCTAGGGTGCTACAGTTGGTCAATGATTTTTGGACATTCAACAACCAAAAGGAGGGCGCAAACGCCCCAGTCTCGAGCGGACCAGCTCGAATTGGTTGAAAAAAATTCAAATAGCGTGTCCGCGTGAGTGTGGGTCGGATTCGCTGTTTTCCATTTGTGTCAATAGTTTTTAAACCGCCATATTGGTGGTAAAATTAAAAAAAAAAAAACAAATTGTGTAGATTCTCCGTAAAACTTCAGGTGCTGAACAGAATTTTGTAAAAAGAAAATATCGAAAACACATTTGCCCCTTCTCAAGCCTCGAGTCCATAAACGTGGTAGCTACTAGCTAGCGTGCTGATTGCTGAAAGCTGAAATTCCCTTTCCGCTCTGGTTGCGAGTAATCTCAATTTCAACGACTAAAATGTCGGAACGAAACCATCATCTCCGACGCCCTCTCTCTCCTCGCTCCATCGACGACCGCCGCCTACGGGATCGCCTCCCCGTTTCCGTGGCCTCCTCCGACCGCAGGCACGCTCACGCTTCAATCATCCTCGAGGACCGCATTGCAATTCAGCACCACGAAATTCAATCCCTACTCATCGAGAAGGACCGCCTCGCCGCCACCCACGTCGCGCTGAAGCAGGAGCTCGCTCTCGCGCAGCAGGACCTCCGCCACTTGGCGGCGGCCGCGGTGGAGGTCAAGGCCGAGCGGGATGGCCAGGTGAGGCAAGTTCTGGAGCGATCGCTGAAACTCGACGCCGAGCTGCGGGCGACCGATGCGATGACCGCCGAGCTCGTTCAGGTGAGAGGCGACGTGCATACGCTTGCTACGCAGCGCGAGGAGCTCGTTCGGGAACTGGAGGCGATCAACAGAGATTTGATGAAGGCTAGGGAAGATGCCGATTTTGCTCCCGGGATTAGGTCTGAGATTCAGAAATTGCGGCAGGAGATTCAGAAAGGAAGGTAAGTTAGGGCTTATTGGCAGTTTTCATTCCTATTTCCACCTATTAATTCGAACTTATGAGTTAATATGGAAGCGCCACTCCGTTTGATGCAGTAGCATTTCCTATGCGACTTCAGCTGCAGCAATGCAGTTAAAACTACTAATGGCTAAGCTGTAGTATTTGGTATTTAATTTTGATATTCTGCTATTGCAATTGATGATGATATGGTGGTCTGCACAAGATAGGAAGAACAAAGAGGATAAGAGTCAATACCTTGACAATGGAAAACCACACGAAAAGGAATTGATTGCACTGGACTGCTGGTTTTCTAAACAATAATTCTTAAATCCGCTTCTGTGTCCGGTTTTTGGATGAAATGTAGGGCTGCAATTGATTATGAGAAGAAGACACGTTCCAGCAACCTTGAGCATGGTAAGGCAATGGATAGAAATAGGGTTCTGCTTGCTGAAGAAATAGACAGACTCTGTGCTGAGCTAGTGAAAGCAGAGAAAAGGGCAAGAGCAGCAGCAGCAGCAAATGCAACAGCAAACCTAGGTAAAAAGTTTGTCTTTGCACATGGTTATTTTTCCCCAGAGCTATGTTTCTTACAGACCTGTCATCTAACTCATGATATTCAGATGTTACAGATCCTGCTTATGGAAGCTATGCCAATCATGGGATAGAGTATGGAGTTGGTCCTTATCATGACCAATACGGCAAACCTCAGGTACCGTTCTCTCTTACAATTCCAATATTATCTTCTTAGTCATCGTACCACTTACAGAATGGTTGGTTGGACTTGCTCTGCATGAAGAAAATCTGCTACTGGCTTGATTTCCAGGCACATTAAACTGTACTAGGTCAAACTTCATAGCTCGCTCCTTTGTTACTCTTAACTGGATGCTTCCTATCCTCATCCATCCATACTTAACGTGTACATGAGGACCAGCCCATGACACATATGCTAAAGCGCACTCCACCAGTATAGTGTTTCTGTCAACTCGACTACTTTCTCTGTTGGTAATATCCATTTGAGTTATCAATATCGGTTAGTTTGTGCTCCATCAAACAAATCACATTGGTGTGACCACTACAACTTCACTTCTTCCAGACCAACTCGAGTTTTGCAATTTGGGGACGTCAACATTTGACACAGTTATGAGATCTTTGAATTGCTCTAGGACCTACAGACGTTTACTGTCCACTAGGATGAGAACAAATATAACTTTCAGCGGCCGGGAAGGCTGACCCAGCCAAAAGCTTCTCCATGATGGTGTATGGTCCGCATGTTCATTTGCTGGGTTGTTTTTATGCGCCCGTATGTAGAAGCATATGTGCTCGAATCTCTTCACCTTATCGTGATTTACATTACTTGTTACATTTTCAGGTTCGAGGTGTTCCCGATGGCACACCTCTGCATGCTTCCGGATCAACATCGAACGGTGCTTGCGATATGGTGCGGCAAGAGCCAACGAACAGATAGCAGGCACATGGTATCACGCTCTGGTTAATGTCTATTTTTGGTTCCACGCACATATCAGAAGGATTCCATCTCTGCAAGATCAGTTCATGTACGAGATCTGGCCCTAGGGTGGATGAGCCATGGCATCATGCTTTGACGAGATTTTGTTTTTCGCGCCATTGTCACCAACAGCAGAAGTAATAGGATGACAAGTCCATGACTTGGTGAAGACAACATTGTTACATGATGGAGGTGGTGCCATCTGTCGCGGTCCAATCATTGGCGAAGGAAGGATATTAACAGCAGTCCAAAATGTTTAAGGGAGACGCAATGAGGTAGAAGCACGCTTGTAAGACTCGTTTTTGGAAAATTTCGTCAACTTGGCCGTCTCTGTAAGATCGGTTCATGTATGAGATCTGGGCCTAGGGTGGTTGTACTTGCTATTAACATTTGTCTAGTTGGAGTCCATATGAAGGATTTTAACAGAAATCATCCTGTATACCAAGCAAAATCCCTTGACTGATCAAAATGTTGTCCACAGCACAAACAAAAATGATGAACAAGCGTCACGGAGAAACACGGCTTTCAATTTCCGACCATTACATAAGTGTCGGATGTTCATATAGTTTCTCTCATTCATGTTCTTAAAAGTTAAAACCCACTAAAATTGATGTACCAAAATTCACAATCAAGAGCTCCAATCCCTACACTGAGAACCTAGCTGGTTGTCACGAATTTAGGTGCTGCTCCATGAAGAAATCATCTAGCATTCGACTACTGTCACTCTTTGCAGAGGAAGGTGCTAGCTAGCTCTTGATCCGTTTTGCAGGAGATATCAAGAAACCCAACAAACGAGTCGTCGATCACCAGCGAACTCTTCACATCCAATTCCACATCCAAGAGGCAATGGCAGATCATTCATACGAATCCAAGAAACATGTAATACTCCACACACACCCTAATAGTCAAATTCTTCTGAAAAGATCACCAAAAGAGCCCCCATACATCAATGTAATTAATTGCCGTGCTGCTTCACATCTGCTTGTTCAGAGCAAAGGCATACAAAAGTTTGTTTCAAACAACATAGTAGCACCCACCCATATCCTGCGCGAAAACACGACTGTTGGAAAGAATCCCACACCAGCTAGTGTATTATCCTCGGACCATTTTCAGGCATGCAATATAACTTGGGACTAATGCACGACGGCAAAAGAAGCTGATTACTCACCTGAATACAACCAACCTACCTTAAGCAGCAAGCAAGCAATTCGGAGTTTCTATCCACTTGCGTCTATAAAGAAAAGACAATTCACACAAGCTGAATCAATTGTGTGCATAGGGGGGAACGATCAAGTCTACAGTAAACAGGAAAGGAGAGAAAGGGGTATTGCTCTGTGAACAACCTACCTCTTAGTCTCCCTCCAGTTAAGAACAACCCCTCAAGGTAATGGAACATAGTAAAACACCCTCAGACACAATTCCTAGAGTACAAAATAACCGCATAACAGAGAGCAGAGTCCTTAGTACGGGCGTGAACGGTTCCCTCCATGCTGATGCCTGTCGGGCCCAGAACCGTCTCTGTAGTTATCCCTCCGCCCACCATATCCACCACCACCTCTTCCGCCTCCACTGTTGCACAGTAAATGAAACCATTCAGTGAAACTATGTAAACTGATTCATGCAAAACGGTAATAGAACAGTCCAGTTTCAATGGAATCACAAGTGTCAAATTAGCTCTACCTAAATTTCATATGAAAGAGAGAGAGAGAGACTGAAGAGAAACAAGACCAGTGACAAGCTTGCTTTTTTATTAGGAAAGGTCAATAAAAGTATAAAACCATGTAACTGATCTTGAAAACTTTGACGAAGACTTGATATGAGAATAAGAGCAGATAAGGACTTCAACAGAATCTTTAATCATGATAATGATAATAATAATAATAATAATAATAATAGCACTCAAACTAACAACAGAAAGAAAAGGAGAAAAAAAAAAGCAGGACTCCATTGGCATTTGTTCATGAAAAGGACATAAATAGTCAAAATAATATACCCGTGCTCAGGTTGCCTCAAAGCTGTCTTCTCTGCCATGACAACACTAATTTTTTTACCTCTCATCTCGTAATCTGAAAGAGAATCAAATATATCAGCAATTGTAAATAAATTCCGTGTGTCAAGATCCAGGTAAACAGTTTGAGCCCGTACTGTTGTAGAAGCCACCAGCAGAATGTGCAGCAGATGGATCCTCATAAGACAAAACTGCATCGCCTTTCTGGGTGCCCTTTTCATCAGTATATATCTTTATGTTCCAAGGCCATTGATCCTTGTAGCCCCTCTTCTGCTTAATCCTTCCAACCTGTCAACATATTTCAATTTTAGTAAGGACTTTCCTAACATGCAAGCTGCTGTCACAGAAAAGAATCATAAATTGAAGTAGATATGCATTCCCGCATCAGAAAGAAAAAGTTAAAAAAAATGGAAGGACTGATTATCCCAAAGTAACTGATTTTAGACAAGAATCAGATTTGCAAATGCGAAGAGCAAAAGAAGAGCCTCCCATAATCAGAATGTGTTCAATCCAATAAACTTTCAAACAGTTTGGAAATCTTAATATGAAAGAAAGGCACCAAGATCGTACTACTACTGCGAATTAATGACCAGTTACTCTACCAAAGAAAAAAAGAATCTCATGTCGAAGATCCCAAATCTGAGAGTGAAGGAAAATATGAAAAATGCAAATAAACAAAGAAGATCCAGCATTACTTGTCCAATTCCACCGAACAGCTCTTTCAATTCTTCAACCGTCACATCAGCAGGCAAATTAGATATGTAAATTCTAGAGTTGTCGCAGTTGTCGCCACAATTCTCATCACATTGCTTAATTGATGGAGCTGCATCAGCACTAGCACCATTACCACCATAACCACCACTTCCTCCTTGATTCCTTGATCCACCACTGCTACCATACCCACCTGGAGGGCCACCACGACCACCGCCTCTTGTATCACCAGTAGCTTCACCGCCATAGCCAGCCACAGGAGGAGCACCATAAGACGGAGGGTATGATGTAGGACCACCAGTATAGCTTGTAGGTGGCGCAACTGCATTGGCACCACCATAATTAGCATTCCCTCCATATGAGTTGGGAGGTTGAGGATAATTACCTCCACCACTACCATAAGTTGGAGCTGCTGCAGGTGGCGGCACCTGATTATATCCATCATCATCTCCTCTACCACCATAAGACCCACCTCTACTGCCGCTGCCGCCTCCACTTCTACTCTCATAACCCCCACTTCTACCACCACTGCTGTAACTTCCACCTCTATTGCCATCATCTCTGCCACTCCCTCGATTACCAGAATACCCACCCCCTCTGTTATAACCATTCCCACCTCCACCACCGCGATCATTGTTGGCACCAGCGGGAGAAGGCGTGTTGCACTTATTGCACTCAGTTCTTCTTGCAAAGTTCAAGTTCCCACAACTATTTAACGCAGCAAATAGGACTTCCAAGAGTTAGAACAGTACCCTGATGGAAGACGATATGGTACACAACTCCCTCAACCCGAAATAAACATGAAAACACCAATAGAGATTTAAATACTAACGTATGATAGCACAATGGAACCAAAAAAGGTGATAACTCAAGAAGCTAATAGGGAATAAACAAAAATTACCCAGGATTAGGGCAAAGCCAATCACCATCTCTGCCACTACCTCCACCTCGACCACCTCCTCTGCCGCCGGCGCCACCTCTGCCACCACGATCTCCTCCTCCTGGATAACCGCCGCCACCGCCGCCGCCTCCTAATGACCACATCAAATCAGACTTCGCTCAAGATCCAATATAACATCAGCTCAAACCTAATTCATTCATCAATCTCACGAACAAAAAAAAAAAAAAACAGAGACTCCGCGAATATGGGAATTACCTCCGTATCCTCCTCCACCACCACCACCTCTACCGCCACGACCTCCGCCGCCATGACCTCCGTATCCGCCTCCTCCACCTCCACCTCCACCTCCATATCCTCCGCCGCCGTATCCACCACCACCGCCTTGGTAAGGCGGAGCGGCGGAATCACCGTTTTGGCCGTACATACCGGACATGATCTGGAAGTCCCTGCTTCGAATCTCCCCTGGTTCTCTGTGACTGTTAATCTACCTTCTCAAGAAGGAGCTGGAAAATCCACGAAAATTAGGGTAGAAAGTTGAAGATAGGTTTGGCCGTGAACGTGTGTACAAGGCTTTGTCCTCCTAACTCTTCCTTGGCGGTATAAAGAGGCCTCGATAGGCCCAATACGGATATTTTTATTCTGAGTTGTACTACAAGGCTTAAACCGCACCCGGCCCAGCACTGAGCGAGAACCAGATCTGGTAGATGGGCCGGCCAGCCCATTGTTGATTCACGCGCCTCCTATCTCATCTTCGCCTACACCCACGCGGGCCACGCCTCGCCCACCAACCACTTGATAATTTGTCTACCTCAAGAATGGCCCCAAGTCCAACTGTTCTGGGTACAAACTATGAAACAGCCTACTATTTACAGCACGAGAAGCTACACTAATATTTCTCTAACTTCCTGCAATGGCACAAACACCATTGGAGCAGGATTTCGAGCATCAAACCGATTCATTTCCACAAGGAACCAAGGAAGGCTTTTGTTGCAATAAGGCGAACCAACCATGGCAGAAGCTTCAATACAAGTTCTGTTAGAAGGAGAAATCCTTCTGGCATCAGGATTGAAGATTGGCGCCAAAGTCTCAAGTTCAAAGGGTTACTGGAGCTGTGTCGTTTTAGTGTGTCTGTGTAATAAACTAATACTGCACCGTTTGCAGTATATCTAAGTTGGTCCTATCTGTTTGGTTATAGTTCAAATTAGGTCCCTGGTTAGTTGTCAGTAGCCGTTGAGCATTTGTAGCTCAAGTAGTTAGCTGGAAATCAGGATTAGTTGAGTCAAGGGTTGTTGATTGCAGTCCGTGATTGGGGCTTGCATCTCAGCTTATTTATATTTCTGGTTTATCATCAATAAACTTCGTCAGATTGCATTCAAAGTGTTTCTACATTTGGTATCAGAGCACAAAGCAAACTGTAACCATTTTCTGTGAGTGCAGAGGGTATAATCTTGAGTGGTGTGAGAAGATTCTGTTGCTTGATTACAGATCTGGGTATTGGGAAACACGAGAGTTTGTGAGGCTGAAAGATGAGTGAAAATGCAAGTTTTGCCCAGGTTGGTCTTCCTAAGTTCGATGGTGACTATGACCACTGGAGCTTGCTTATGGAAAATCTCCTAAGATCTAAGGAGTACTGGGGGGTTGTGAGTGATGGAATACCAGAACCAGTTGCTGGAGTGGACCTGTCAGCAGCTGAAAGCAAGAACTTGGACGATCTGAAGTTAAAGGATCTCAAAGCCAAGAACTACTTGTTTAGTTCGATTGACAAGTCTATTCTGAAGACTATCACCAAGAAGTCTACTGCTAAACAACTCTGGGATGCCATGAAGATCAAGTATCAGGGTAGTGCTCGAGTACAGAAGGCTCAATTGCAGAGTCTCAGAAGGACTTTTGAGGTATTGGAAATGAAAGAAGGTGAGACTGTGACAGCTTATTTCAGTCGAGTTATGGTTGTGGCTAATGATATGCGAAATTGTGGAGAAGACACGCCTGATGTTAAAGTGGTTGAGAAGATACTTAGAACTTTGACAGAGAAATTCAATTATGTGGTGTGTTCCATCGAAGAGTCCAAAGATATTGAGACTCTCTCTGTGGATGCCCTTCAAAGTTCTCTGCTAGTCCATGAGCAGAAGTTTCACAAGAGGTCTACTACTACTGTTGAAGAAGAGCAGGCTCTCAGGATCTCTCATGATTCTGGAGGGAGAGGAGGCAGGTTTGGCAGAAGGGGAAGTTATCAAGCCAGAGGTCGAGGAAGGGGAGGAAGAGGCTGGAGTAAGGATCAAGTTGAGTGCTTCAGATGTCATAAGTTTGGTCATTATCAGTATGAGTGTCCTAGCTGGTATCCAAATCAGCACCAGTCCAATTATACTCAAACTGACATGACTGATGATGTACTTTTGATGGCATTTCTGGAGGATTCTCGTCAGGCTACTATGGAAAACTGGTGGTTTTTGGATTCTGGTTGCTCAAATCACATGAGTGGAAACAAAGATTGGTTTGACAGCATCAACTTCAGTCATACTGGGCAAGTAAGACTTGGAAACAATAGTAGACTCGAGGTAACTGGGAAAGGGACAATAAGACTACCATTGGAGCATTTCACTTTGGTTATCCAGGATGTCTTTTTTGTTCCAGGTCTGCAAACTAATCTGCTGAGCATGGGACAATAGCAAGAAAAGGGATTGGAGTTTCTGGTTAAACGTGATGCCTGCAGAATAGTACATGAAACAAAGGGTCTGTTACTGGAAACAAGAATGAAGAGCAACAGGATGTTTGTATTACAAACCATCCCTAAGAAAGCTGCAGAAGCATCAGATATTCAATGTCTGACTACTGACAGTAAAGATACATCTCTTGTGTTGTGGCATAGAAGGTTTGGTCACTTGAATCCTCAAGGAATTCTGAAAATGCAGAAGAACAATCTGGTGAAAGGTGTACCTGATCTGAAGGGAGAATTGGGAGTCTGTGCTACATGTCAACTAGGCAAACAGACCAGGGCAGCTTTTCCCAAGAAAAGCCAGTGGAGAGCAACCAAACCACTTCAATTGGTGCATGCTGACCTCTGTGGTCCTATTACCCCTATGTCTAAGAGTGGAAAGAGGTATGTTTTCACACTCATTGATGACTTCAGCAGAAAGCTATGGGTTTACTTCTTAGCTGCTAAGTCAGAAGCCCTTGACTGGTTTAAAAAGTATAAGGTTCAAGTTGAAAAGGAAACTGGAGTACCTATTCTATGTCTAAGAACAGATAGGGGTGGGGAGTTTCTATTACAAGAGTTTCAGTCCTTGTGTGATGATGTTGGAATGACAAAGCAGCTCTTACCCCTCAGCAAAATGGAATAGCTGAGAGGAAGAACAGAACCACCATGAATATGGTGAGGTGTATGCTCAAGGATACTCAAGTACCTGCAAGTTTTTGGCCAGAAGCTGTCAATTGGACTACTCACGTCTTGAACAGGAGCCCCACAGTTGCCAATCAGGGAAAAACTCCTCAAGAAGTGTGGACTGGAACTGCTCCCTCAGTTGCACACTTTCGAGTTTTTGGATGTGTGGCTTATGCTCATGTACCTGATCAGCAAAGGAAGAAACTGGATGACAAGAGTGTTCAGTGCCACTTTTTGGGGATATCAACTGAGTCCAAAGCATACAGATTGTATAATCCAGCAACCAGGAAAGTCATTATCAGTAGGGATGTGGTGTTTGATGAAAGCAAAGGCTGGAAATGGAATGCAGAAGTTCAACCAGTACTTACAACTTTACTGTGGGAGGGAAGTGAAGAAGAAGCTGAAGACTCAGATGGAGAAGAAGGTCCTATGCTAAATACAAATCCAACTGTAGATGAAGTGGAAGAGGAAGAAGAAGGAACATCAACTACACCTCAGAGTCCAGTCACACCTGCTGCAACAACAGAACTCGATGCTGTTACTGAAGAAGAAGAGGATCTCTCTTCCACTGATGTACTGGGATTACCTCAAAGTCCTGCTCTTGGTCCTAGATCAAGAAAACCACCTGGTCATCTTTCTATCTATGACTGCTCACACTCTACTGAAGTACAACCAGATTGGTTGTTAATGACAGAAGCAGCAGGAGATCCTCAAAGTTTTGAAGAAGCTGCCACAGAAGAGAAGTGGAATAGAGCTATGCAACAGGAGATGCAGTGCATAGAGAAGAACAACACGTGGGAACTAACAGAATGCCCTCCAGGTATCACTCCAATTGGCCTAAAGTGGATCTATAAAACAAAATTGAAAGAGAACAGTGTCATAGACAGGCATAGAGCAAGGCTAGTAGTGAAAGGCTATGCTCAGAGGGCTGGTATAGATTATAATGAAGTGTTTGCCCCAGTTGCTAGGTGGGATACTATAAGAACACTCTTGGCATTTGCTGCTTATCATGGTTTTTCAGTCTGGCAGTTAGATGTTAAGAGTGCATTTCTCAATGGGGAGCTTACTGAGGATGTGTATGTTGAGCAACCACAAGGATTTGTGGTTGCTGGGGAGGAATCAAAAGTATATAAGCTAAAGAAAGCTCTTTATGGACTGAAACAAGCCCCAAGAGCTTGGTACAGTCGTATTGAGGCACACTTTCTTAGCTCTGGTTTTGAGAAGTGTGAGAATGAAGCCACCTTATTCATTAAGAAGGTTCAGAAGGAAGTTCTTATTGTGAGCATCTATGTTGATGATGTTCTATATACCAGCAGCAGTCTTGAGTTGTTGGATGCATTCAGAAGGGATATGGAGGCTGAATTCGAGATGTCAGACCTGGGGAGGATGAGATTCTTTCTGGGTGTAGAAGTGGTTCAGAATGAAAGTGGAATATTCATCTGCCAGCAGAAGTATGCCAGAGAGGTTCTGAAAAGGTTTCATTTGGCAGAATGCAACTTTGTGCACAATCCCATAGTGCCTGGTGCAAAACTGACTAAGGAAGGGGAAGGAGGTCAAGTGAATCCCACTGAGTTCAAGCAACTCATTGGGAGTATGCTGTATCTGACAGCAACCAGGCCAGACTTAATGTTTTCTGTATGTTTGTTAAGCAGGTACATGGAGCATCCCACCAAACAACATCTCCTAGCAGCCAAGAGGGTTCTAAGATATGTAAAAGGCACTGTAAGCTATGGTATTCTGTATCATAAGAAGAAGGAGAAGAGCTGTCAGTTAGAAGAATGTCTGTTAGGGTATACAGACAGTGATTATGCAGGAGATCTTGATGACAGAAAGAGCACTAGTGGCTATGTGTATTTTCTGGCTGGAGGGGCAGTCTCATGGGCATCAAAGAAGCAGCCAGTAGTCACTTTGTCAACCACTGAGGCTGAGTTCGTAGCTGCTGCCTATTGTGCTGCTCAAGGAGTCTGGATGAGAAGAATTCTTGCTGAGATTGGGTGGGAAACCAGTGTGGACAAGAGCACAGTCATCATGTGTGACAATAGCTCCACCATCAAGCTGTCAAAAAATCCAGTAATGCATGGGAGGAGCAAACATATCGATGTGCGCTTTCACTTTCTAAGGAATCTGGCTAAAGAAGGAATTGTGGAGTTGCAGCATTGTTCCACTCAAGAACAAGCAGCAG